TGATTCATGAATTCTCTTGTTATGATACAAGGAGCCAAAATCATGACCTGCCATAAGAAATTAATACAAAAATAAAGTTGTGGATCATTTACATCAAGCATGTTCCTCCATTCTTTAGTATCACCAGTTAATAAAGAAGAGGAATGAGATAATCCAGCATTATTGACACACACGTCAATACCACCAAACTGATCTTTAGCATAACTAAATACACTCTTGATATCATCTTCATTAGTAACATCACATTTCATACCAACCAGTTTACCACCACTAGCAGTTGTACCTAGACTATCTGATAATTTCTATAAAAATATTCAATCATAGACCCTGTTGAGTGATCATACTATCATAACTAACCTTTATTCTTTCCACATCTCTTGCTACTCCTAATACTATCATACCATTCTTTACCAGTGATGCAGCAATCCCTGCTCCAATACCAGAACTGGCTCCTGTCACTAATGCTACTCTGCCACACCAGCGATCCATCTTGTTCAGTGGTTTGTAATTGTGAACCCAAACTAATGGCCAAGTCCAGCCCTCTTGAAGTCAGGGTTTCCCACAAAGCATGCTAATTAAGTGAGCTTAACATACATGCTTCATGAGCTGACATTGTCAAACACCATAATAGTATAGATGTTCAGTTTGCTACCACTAGCAGTTGTACCTAGACTATCTGACAAAAGATAAGTCATGAATATTAAAACCTAGTCTCACGATCCTCCTAATGGTGTGTGTTCTAGTACATGGTTGTGGGCCAAGTTTTGCCAAAATTAAAAAAGACAGAATCCTCAATTTATATATTTTTTCTGATGGATATACATGTACTTAGGTCGTGTAAAATATTTAAGCCCATTCCAATCAAAATTGAATTTTTTATGGATTTTTAAAAGGCACCCAACAATTTGGTAAAAGTCCTTGTACAGGGATTTTGGCAAAACTTCGTCAAAAATGACAAGGAGAGATTCACTACTTAGGTCTAGTCTGGCTAGCAAAACTATTAATTAAAACTAATCATAGCCCCTCCTAGTCTCAGGCCCTTCGCTTCCTGGGATTTTAGATAACGTAGACACTTTAATATTTAAGGATATTAGGTATCAGCTAACCTTTATCCTCTCCACATCTCTTGCTACTCCTAATACTATCATACCATTCTTTACCAGTGATGCAGCAATCCCTGCTCCAATACCAGACCTGGTTCCAGCATGGTTTCAGTCACTACTCACTAGATACTCTGGAAGAGGGTGTGGCTCATTACAATTAATAGCTCAGGGAAATATGGCTGAAGTTGAAAGCTTAGAGACTCTCCTGGAGAAATCAGCCAGTGCTTTAGACGAGAGAGAAGCGTCTGAAATGAAAAGGATATTATATGGAGCTCCTACACCGTGAGACCCTACCTTATGATATAGTTTAACTACATCGGTATTATATTCTTAGTAAGATAGAGCTCCCACGTGAAGCAGTAGAGAAAGCTGGAGCTGGAAACTTTGAGCTGGCTGCATACAAATTCCCTGTGTCAGGAGAGGAGGAGAGCCGCCCTCGTCGTATTGTCCGTATAGCTGTGGTCCAAAACGAAATAGTGAAGCCAACAACAGCTCCAATCTCAGAGCAGGTATCATTATAGGTGTGAGAAAAGGGCGTGAACAACAAGCAGAATCAGAAATGCTGTCATTTCTATGTCTTTGTTATTTTAGAAAACTGCACTTTGGGACCGCATTAAAGAAATAACACATACAGCTTCGCTTTGCGGTGTGAACATCATTTGCTATCAAGAAGCATGGCGTAAGAGAAAATAATGTTGACTTTATTGTCGCTGTTTTGGTCTTCTTTCTCCCTTTCTTTTTTATTTGCCTCAACAGCTCAACCTTTTTTCTTTTGCACACGTGAGAAATATCCGTGGACTGAATTTGCAGAATCAGCAGAAGATGGCCCCACGATAAAGTTATGCCAAGAGGTGAGTTTTAAAAATAAATATTTCTATAATAATTATTTTTCAAAGATGGCTGCCCGTTACAATATGGTAATCGTGTCTTCAATACTTGAAAGAGATGCCAATCATGGTGGAATCCTTTTCAACACTGCCGTCATCATATCAAACACTGGTAAAGTACTGGGAAAAACACGCAAGAATCACATACCAAGAGTTGGAGACTTCAATGAAGTATGTCAAATTTAGTCTGCACTACTGTACAAAATGATTTATTGGTGAGGAATATTGGTGATTGAAAGTTCTATGAAGAAATTGCCAATATAAAATTCGCCATTTGTTTCAATTTGAGCATGCTCAATGGCACATGGCACAAAATTACTAATATAAAATCTGCGAATTTCTTTCCACAGGCAAATTCGCCAAATATTACTCCTGCCAATAAATCATCTTGTACGGTATTTACTAATGTACATGCAACTTTAATTAATGTTAATTTCCTTGATAATAAACTGGGCGTAGTTAATTTTAAAAACTTTAAAATGGGTCCAGCCTTAGAGTGTAGCCAGGTGCTCACTCAGGGTTTCTGCTGAGTGAACTGAGCAGTATGCTTCATGAGCTGACAAGGACAAGCAGATACAGTAGGAACAACTTTAGAATCTAAATTTGATCACCTCAAAAATTTATACCGTATATCGGGTATATTTCAATGCATGAAAAGTGGTGTAATTTTAAAGTTCAGTGATGGAAAAATTCGGAAGCCCTTTATATTCCGAAAATATTTTACTTGCTATTATTTCCATGAACCACCTGGCCTAGTAAGTAAATCGAAGCATTTGCTGACTTCTCTACTTCTGAATCAACCTTAGCAACACTTCTAACTGGCAAAGAAGGCTCTTTATGGCCTTCGAGCTAGAAGCAATGGATAGTTATGAAGCCACGTGTTCATAATGATTGCACAATACCACATATCTTCTATTTCTTTTTATCCGCATATTTTAAAATTTCATAATGTTTATTTTCGCAATGGATTGCTTCTTCTGAAATTATTAATGCATTGAAATATACCTGATATACGGTATGCAACATAAGTACATGTGTGTGTATCAAAAAATTATTAAAATGGAGAATTCTGTCCTAATTATTTTTGGTGAAATTTGATCAACGTCCCTGTACTGGAGTACAGGTACTTTGGCTCAATTTTTGAGTAACTTTAAAAATTCATAAAAAATCTAATTTTGATCGGAATTATCTCAAACTTGCCATACAACATACATACTGGTATATGTATTAGAAAAAATTATAAAAATGAAGAATTCTCTCCTGGTCATTTTTGGCAAAATTTGGCTAACGCCCCTGTACTACAGTACAGGTACTTTGGCCCAATTTTTGAGTAACTTAAAAAAATTCATAAAAAATTTGATATTGATCGGAATCATCTCAAACTTGCTATACAACATACATACAGGTATATGTATTAGAAAAAATTATAAAAATGAAGAATTCTCTCCTGGTCATTTTTGGCAAAATTTGGCCAACGCCCCTGTACTATAGTACAGGGACTTTGGCCCAATTTTGAGTAACTTTTAAAAATTCATTAAAAATCCAATTTTGATTGGAATCATCTCAAACTTGCTATACAACATATGTACAGGTATATGTATCAGAAAAAAATTATAAAAATGAAGAATTCTTTCCTTGTCATTTTTGGTGAAATTTGGTCGACGCCTCTGTACAGTGTAGAAGGGAACTGAGCCCTTAAATGAACATTATTAAAAAATAAACACATGACAAGTATAAATAGTAGCCTAAGAAATGAGAAAATAGAGTAATAATGGAAAGAAATGAAAAATAAATAAAATAGTACAAGGACTTAGGCCCAATTTGTGAGTAGCTTTAAAAATTCATAAAAAATCCAATTTTGATTGGAATTGTCTCAAACCTGCTACACATGTATATGTATTAGCAAAAATTACAAAAATTAAGAATTTTCTTCTAGTCACTTTTGGTAAAATTTGGCCAAACACCCTGTACTGTAGTACCCTGTACTATATAATAGTACATGGTCTTACAAACTACTGACAAGAAAAAACTGCATGAAAATCCTGTGGGAAACCCTGTACCAACTATCATTCATTATCATCATTACTTGTTATAGTTGTTATGTTGTTGTTGTTGTTGTTACTTTAGTCCACATATTATATGGAAGGTAATACCGGACATAAAGTGTTCCAGACTGCGTATGGAAGGATTGCTGTGAACATTTGCTATGGACGTCATCATCCGTTAAATTGGCTAGGCTATGGCATTAATGGAGCAGAGATTG